GAGGTCTTCTTAAAATAATGGTCCTGTCCCTACCATCAACAATCAACATACGACATGGATGCAGCTCACTGCTTGAAGGTCACGAACGACACTGAATGGTATTTTGCCATTTAAGTGGCACACTCCCCGTGCCCGGTCACTGAGTCCCCCCGTTTTTAGGTGCTGCTGCTGGCCGCCGCGCTGTGTCTGGCTGCTGCCGATGACGACTTCTCCGCACCGCCCGTGAGGCGGCCCACGGCTCCAGTCGCCGTGCACGCGCCGACCTCGTCCTACACGGCGTACCCAACTGCGCGTCGACCGGCGGCCCGCTACGGCGTGCCCCAGAGGCCCCACTACGACGGGCCGAGCCACGCGCAGCGCGGCTACGCCTCCGAGTACCAGCAACCGCGCTTCTACCAGCCGAGGCCGTACTCGTTCGCGTACGGCGTCGACGACCGCTACGACTCTGGCACGGTGTTCTCGCGCAGTGAGGAGAGCGACGGCGTCACCACGCGCGGCCGCTACTCGGTCAACCTGCCCGACGGCTGTGTGCAGACGGTCACCTACTGGGCCGACCACACCGGCTACCACCCCACGGTCAAGTACGAGTGTGCCCAGAAGCGGCGGCCGGCGCCGGTCGACTATTACGGCTACGGAACGCCCGTGTACCGGGCGGCCGGCGTCCCGCAGACCCGCCAGAGTCTGAGCGACGACCGCGACGACTAATCAGAAACCAGACACAAATGTCATGTCATAGACGATTGTTCGACGATTTTATACTTCTTCATATTAGTTGTGATGTGACCCAACAGCAATATAACAACATTTAGGCACGAATTGGTGAGTGCAATTGAGTGTGCTGGCTGTGAGCTCGAGTGTATTTCTGTGCTATTTAATTAACCCGGCAGTTGCTGGGGTATTTCGCCACCCACCGTTTGCTGGGGGGGGGGGGGCGTTAAACGCCCCCAGCCGATAACTCGAGAACCAATAGGCGCAGCGAAACGCACGAGGCGGCAAACGATAGAACGCGACGAGACGCTTCAGATGAGTACTTTAAAGTTGAATTTTGAGGTCACAGGTCGGGTCAAGGTCAGGTCAAACACCTGAAATCGGGCTTTCAGTAGCATGGACTTCAGCACTTCGCAATGGGCGCCTCTCGTCATAAACTCTGTCAAAACGGTGCACAATCCATCATATAAGGCCTACAAGAGTGTCAGCTCCATGTAGGGGTCAGTCAAGCATAGGTCAGGGTCAAGGTCAGGTCAACCGGGCAGGCACATATCCCCGAAAATCAAAACTGACATTCGCATCATGTGACACATGTTTTATGGGTAATTTGGGGCGTAGAACACGATGGTGGCATTCATTTTATCATATGTGTACTTGTTTGGCTTAAAAAGTTCAATTTAAGAAAAACATGTATCATGGTCGTGAAGAAGTCACGAGAAAGTGCCAAGATTCAGTTCAAGATTTTGGAAAATGCGGAACGATAATCAATAATCGAAGATAGCCATTTGATAGTTCATGGTATTGGCAGTCTAATGGCGTTTACGGCATGTCTGTATGTCTATTCTGTGATTTTATATGATTTTTTGAACATATGCCGTTTTTGGTCGAAAACTCAGAAATCATGACGTCACTAAAACCTCGATATCTCAAAAATTTTCCGACCGATTTTTTTGAAACTTTGTCACAATAAACTTTAATCAATTCCCTACAGGTACCCAAAATTTGGCGCGCCTGCGGCGCGCCGTTTTTATGCTATGGCCCGGCGAAAAAAGTGGGGGCGTTTAACGCCCCCCCCCCAGCAACTCGCGGGTTAAGAATGTTTCAAACATGTGCGTGTGCGTGTGCATGCTGGATCGTTGACATCTAAAGATTGGTAATGGTATGCGGAGATGCAATTGTACGTTCAAATTACCACCATCGCGCAAATAAAATAAAGCAGCCATCGGGTTGAAAAAATGATGTTCCTTCGACTTACATAAATGCACCTCAACTCGACCATTGATATAAAGACTCGACCCTATAAATGATCAAATTTGAAAAACATGGCTAAGCAAATGATAGACACCCCAGTAAACATGCCGACGTCGGGGTGACGTCGGCAGCTCGGCATCGGCATGCCGACGTCGGCCCGACGTCGGTCCAACCTCGGCACGACGTCGGCTGGATATCGGATATGCCCGCATGTACCGACGTCCAGCCGAGGTACAGCCGACGTCGGGCCGACGTCGGACCGAGATCAATTGCTGAGGTCCAGCCGACGTCGGGCCGACGTCGGGGCGACGTCGGACCGACATCGGCCGCTGTTTTGACCGTTAAAATAATATAAAATACATGTTTCATGTTTCTTAACCCTCGCATGTGTAGGGGGGGGGGGTCGGATGGACCCCCCCCCATGGTTTTTCGCGAATAACTCGCGTAAAAAGCGGCCGATCGCGACGAAACTTTCAGTACCCTCACATTGATCAATTTTACACCTACCCTGAAAATTTCATGACCCTGACCCAAATGACCTTTGACCTGTGACCTCTTTTCCGAGACCATGTTTGGCCGGAATCGCGATTCTGCGTATATCGGCTCGCATTAGCCGCGCGTTTGCAAGCTTTTCGTGGTTTCAAGCGTTCAAACATGTGATTTGATGTTGCTTCCATGCATTAGGGTGGGTTTCAAGGTCACCTGAAGGTCAGGTCAGGTCATTGACCTTTGGTGACCTCGGGTGACCTCGGTTCACTTTTTCGAGCTGTACATGTTTCTAGGCTAGTTTTTGGAGCTGAATTCGAATTTAGCAACCATTTGAACATTTACGAAGTAGTTTTGGTGCCTTCGTAACATGTTACGAAGCTGTCGGAGGCGGTTGACACGTACTACGAATATCCGTCACGACGCCTACTGGTTGACCTGACATGACCTGACCTGACCTGGTCTAAATGCTTAAAGACATCACCTGTGATCAAAACTAACACGATATTCGTGATCAGCACCCCGAAAAACCCCTTAGCAGCCACCCTTTACGACTTTCTAACAGGTCCCGATTTTCCCGACTTTGGGTCATTGAACTGACCTGGAAGGTCAACCAATGACCTAGGACCTTAAAATTGGATATCATCGGCTTCCTCTCGTCACGGGCAACACGCTCGTTTTTTCCGCGAAGCTCTAGCTCGATCAGGGGCCAAACGGCAAGGGGGGGGTCCAACCGACCCCCCCCCCCTACACATTAGAAGCTGGCAAACGCCGCACACATGCGAGGGTTAAAGAGCTTCTGTATTCAAAATATCCTCAGGAAACTCAAATCTTTCTCCACGCCGCAACCCCCTGATCCGGACTTGACGGGAAACTTTATCCCATTTGGGATTGCCCGTAAGCCGAGCTCGCCCGTAGCCGGGTGCGGTGAGTGCTTGGGGGCTGCTCGGCCCAAGCTCGGCCTATCCTTTGGTCAGGCTCAGCCCCGGCAACTCACCAGGGCCGGGCCCAGTTCATATAGAAAGGCCAGTCGGCAAGTGTCACTTTGCCAAAGTGCCACTTATCAAAGGGACAATTTGGGAAACGTTGGTGCAGGTGTGTAAGAGTGGCTATATGAATCCATTGTGGGGTCGCCCTTTCCAATAAGTGTCACGTAACAGCAATGGGACTCTATATGAACTGGACCCAGGGTGCTCGCCTCGCCAAGAAGACCAATGTCCATCCTATCATCCTTCCGGCTCTGAAATGGTCTTGTCAGACCGAAAGGGCATAACCCAACAAAACAAACATAATTATATGGCTGCGTGGTGTAGTGGTTAGCGCACTAACCTCGCGTTCAAATGACACGGGGTTCGATTCCCATCGCCGGCTGATGCTTTTGGCGTGTTGTCCCAGTAAACGTGCCGACGTCGGCGACTGGGGGGCTCGAATCCCGCCGCCGGTTGATATTTTTGGCGCGTTGTCCCAATAAACATGCCGACGTCGGCCCCGTCGGTCCAACGACAAACGATCTCGTCAACCTCGGCAAACGACCTCGGCCCGATGTCGGCTGGACTTCGGCTGGACGTCGGAACATGCGGGCATATCCGACGTCCAGCCGATGTCGGGCCGAGGTTGAACCGACGTTGGGCCGACGTCGGCATGTTTACTGGGACACCATGAGGCAGGCATTCAGTAGACTGTGGTAGCGCCCACGTAACGTAAGCTCTTGAACTTGAAGGCGGAAATTGAACAGTAATATCTTTCGTGTAACCAAAACCGCCCACAAATCGCTTATCGCTGTCACCTATCAGTTTCACAGCCCTGAGCGTTCGCACAGTCCGCCTATCATTTTCGTGCGTCATTTGACCGGCTGTCTGGAAATGGAGCACGCGTGGACGATGATCTGCTAGACCGGTTCGGTGACGCCGGCAGCGATCAGACGCACAGCGACATTGAAGTTTTACCGCCCCAAAGCCGGTTATCCACTTCCCGACACATAAAACTCAGCTTTTTAATACGGAAATGAGGAACGAGGTAGGTATGTACGGTGAGTATGCAGGAGCATTCCTATTATCTATTGACTGATGTACTGAAAAGATCGCTAATTAAAGATGCTTTCGTTAATCTATTTTATCCATATTCGCGGTATTCCTCATCCAGGTTAAAAGGGAATTAAAATGGCTGGGGTCGGTCCTGGGGCAACAGGCTGGGGTTGAGATTAAAGCCGATTGCTCAGCTGGGGCTGATGTGGCTGGAGCTGGAGCTAGCGGCCTAGGGCTGACGCTAGCAATGGAGCTGGATCTAGAAAAGAAACAACGGGGCTGGAGCTGGAGCTATGGCTGAAGCTGGCGTTGGAGCTGGACCTAGAGATGACACCATAAGTTCGGTCAACCTAGGTATGTTCATCTCGATTTAAGGAGACATTTAAAAATTCAAAGTTCATTCAATAAAGCCACAGAAGTGCGGGTCCAGCTGGCTTGATCCGTGTCATGTCGTACTTATGAAGAACGTTGCCATAGGCGTGTCAGCTAAATCTCATTGGCTAGGTCAATTATAACAGGTCACTCACAAAACACTGTTCCAATTTTATCATAAATTTGCCTCAGGGAATGCATAAACATCCGAGCCCCGCCAAAGATCGAAATGTCAACACGTCAAGTCTTCATTAGCTAAGCCACTCATCAGAAATCGTGTGGTATCATCACAAAACAAACCGGTACATAATGATGATGTGGGACCTAATAAGCCAAACAAACATTCACGAAACATCAGAAATGTAACACAGGTATGGCATCAAGATATACATACAAAATGCGAAAATCTTCCAAACCCGCTTACCATGTGCAGGCGGTCTATTTGAAATGTTCTGTTGTGGTCCAAATGAAACGTGGCTGCTTCTACAGAACAGAACAAGAATGGTTCAACCCACCAATGACGAATGGCGGGGCAAAGCCAAATCACCCTTCCAATAGCAGAGCCAGCAGTTAGGATGAGAAGCTAGCCATAAGTTAGATGATGTTCTTGATACCACCGATACCACAGCCTGTCCGGGACACACTGCCAACCACTGCCACAGGACAGCCTCTCCTCCACGAAGCGGCCGCGTCTCACGGGTGCAGCAGTCGCGGTTGGATGAGCTCCGACCAGCAGCGCTCCTCGATACCCGACTCCTCCTCGAGATCCACCACCTCGTCATCATCGGGAGAAGTTATCTCAAACCGTCCCCGCCGCCGGCCGCGGGGCCGGTATTCTGTAACAGGGTAACACGGTCAGTGACGAGTGACTAGAGATCCTCGGACAAAGGAAGCTACGCAAATGTTCGTACGTTTAAGTACGTAAGCCAGTAAGTACATAAAGACAAAGGTAAAGTACCTAAGGACAAAGGTACATATCGCTAAAAAAAACTGACCTGACCTAACCTAGCCCAACCTAACCTGAACCGCCTCAACCAAAAGCTAGCCCACGTCCTAACCTAGTCGTCTGTCCTATACTTTTGTATCTACGTATTTTATGCCCTACAAACATTTGCGACACGTGCTAATTTGTCCGCGACCCGTGACGACAGGCGACACAGTTAACAGAGCAATCACAGCCGGCGATAATGTCCACTGTCCAGTGCAGCCACTTCGAGACAAACCGGATAAAGGAGAGAGAGACGATGAAAGCATGTAGCGAATGTGTTCGGTGACGTTGGTGCAGATTTCGATTTCCCGAAGTCCATTCTTATCGCTGTGCTTGACGCACGTTGCGACTATATAAATTAGACAACCACGGATGAAGAACATATTTCTGCGGAAAGCTTATCCTCGGTGATATTGTTAATTATGCTAGGGTCTAATGGGTCATCAGAATACGTCAATAGAAAGTAGAAATGGAAAGGCGCCGTGAAAATCTACAGAAAAAAAAACATTGCACGAATATGCTGTTTCACGTAACCAAGTGGACCAAATGTGAGTAAGTTTGACGAGATAAATGCGATCAGCACGACACCTGAGCACCTCTGACCCATCCAAAGACAGGCGTCATTATAGCACTTCTACTACCAGCGGAAGCCCCAGGGCCGCTAGTTGAAGACCCGCTAGCCCTGTATATTGTATAACGCTGTTTCCCGTGTCTCACCAAGCAGCTGCAGCGTCACGCGGCCTCCGTCGCCCGTCTCCATCACCGTGGCCTCGCGGTACTCGCTGACGAACGGCGAGTAGTCAGCCGCCATATCCCAGCACTGCGGCCGCACGGGGGTTGGTCAGAACCACGTCATAGCATGTGACGGTGTGATGGACAGGACAGGAGGGTAAACGTCATATACCTACTCCTTGTCAGACAGGCAAACTCTTGGCGAAGCGCTGCAGAGCATCCATCAAAATTATTTCAACTGGGTGACCGACGTCTAAAAACGGTGTGGGAACAGGAACAGATTAGTGACATCTCGTGTTGGAATTACCTAGAATTAGCTTCTGAATAATGACAAAAAGTATGAAGATTGTAATTCGCATAAGTAAACAATAGAGTGGTGATTGTACTGCCCTAAAAAAAATCCAGGACACATTATTGGATAGTGCGATTCTAATTTTGGATGACATGATTGAAAATTGAAAATTGATTGAAAAAAGGGTTTATAAAAAGCTCCAATAAATTCACCTTATAACACGTGATAGACTCACCTTGAAGGCGATCAGGTCACCCTTGTGGGCGACCTCCTTCATCAGCGGGAACTGCGCGTAGAACCGTTCATCCTTGACGCCATCTGCCGGGGCGCGGTTCTCCTTGCCGCCACCAGGTGGCAGGCCGCGCGCTCGCTGTTTCTCCAGACGGCGATTCTGACCCACGGCGTTGACCACGTTGCAGTTGGTGATGCTATCCACCGAGGCATTTCCGCGCTGCACATTGGATGCGTCTGGAAGCTCCTCCACAGAATCTCCCTCATCTTCAGAATCCTTCGCATCGTCAGCGTCTTCCTCCGAGTCATCAGAGTATACAGATACCTCTTCGGACTCTCCAGAATCGTCAGCACGAGGAGACAGCTGCTCCAGGGGTGGTCCCGGCAGGATCACGGACACGTTGCGGTACACGTCTCCTGACGGCGAACCAGTGGCATCCGTGGTGTCATCCTCTACATCACCGTCGCTGTCCGGTGCTGCAGCTGCACCATCCTCACGACGTCCGCTTCCTCCACGATCATCCCGATCACACTTCTTCTTTCCCTGCCCACCAGACTCTTTGGAGTTTTTGCTGCTGGGTACCGATCTCAGGCTTATATTCGCGTCTGGCTTCTTGCGTTGCACAACGTCGCCCGTCTCCTTACGCGACGTCCGACTCTCATGTTTCGTCACTTCTCTGTACGGAGTCCGGCCGGGAAGTGGTCGGTCCTGCCTCACCACGACCAGGGGACGTCGTTCGGTACTGGTAGCCAAGTGGCGCAGGTCACGGCCAGCGCTGCCTTCGGCCGGCCGGCCGCGGCCGTCCAGTACCACTGTAGTGTGGGAAGGAGGAGCAGGGGAAGATGTAGCAGCCGGCGTGGCTCGACCTACGGATGACACTGGAGCTAGGGATGGGGCTGAAGCTGGAGCTGAAGATATGATTGGCGTTACATCGGCAGCTGCAGGGTTAGCGGAAGTGGAAACAGGAGTCCCGCCAACCAGCGCGGAAGAACACTTTTCTTTGGAGGCAGGAGTCTGCGGATCAGCCGGGGATGGTTCAGTGCTCGCTCTTTGGTCACGCGGAGCACCACAGATACGGCTAGCATCCGATGATACATGGACATCTGAGCCACTGCCCCCACGACTAGACTGTGCAGCGCATCCATCTTCACTGTTCGACGTTGTCTTCGTATCAGGAAGGGCTGTTCTACCAGCAGCTGCTGCTTCACGACTTGCTATCAAATAACTGGGCTGCAGCAGTCTATCCGAGCCTGCAGGTGATGCGCTGGATCGAAAAAAGCCACCTCTACGCACATCAGATGTTCCTCTCGGCATGGTTGTCGTCTCAGTCGGCTTTCCTAGCACTTCCGAGCGTCGAGGCGGGTCAACGCAGCGGCGTGGCCTCATGAAGGCTCGCGGAAGAAGACCGGCGCCAAGCGAACCACCCCTGCGGCTGCCGCCTCCGCCAAGCGCCGGTTGCCCTGCCCGAGCAGCATATGAGCTTGAGGGAGTGTCCCTCGCCAAGTTCGAAGGTTCTCGCATTTGCGTATCCTCAGCCTTTTCAGCTGGCTGAGTGGATCCCGACTTGGTGACAGCCTCACTGGTGGTGGACTTAGCTTGTGTTTCTAGTCGGCTGTCGGACGCAGAAGATGGCGCAGGATCGGACTCTCTGCGAGGCGCTTCACTCGTGGTCTCCACCACTTCTGGTGGTCTTGCAGAATCAGACACTGGCTTTGAGACATTGTCAGAGCGATCGTCTGGTTGCGAACTGTCGAGGTTCATCGGTCTGTCCGCAGGTTGGAGAGACTCGCAACGTGCCGCAGGGTCGTCTCCATCCGTCCGTAGCTCCTGATTACGACCCTGAGACCAGGCCCACTGTCCGTTGCCCTGCGTCGTCACTGCTGTGGCACGCCACTCTCTTCCAGCAGACTCTGTCCCCGCCTGAGGTGAAGGCTCAGCGCCGTATGGCACCGGGTTCCCATCATCATCGAACACCACCCGCCGGTTCTTCGGTCTCGTCTGCCAACCAATGGACACTGAGGCAGCGCGCTTGTAGCGGTCGATTTCACCGCGAGGAAGGCCATGTCTCTGAGCGTAGTCGGCTCCACGGGACTGCAGCTGCGGCTGAGGTGGCGGAGGAGGAAGTTCAGGGGGTGCTTCAGGGGTTCGGCGCTTCCGACCACGACGACGTCGGGTCCGCGTCCTTTTCTTCTTTTCTGTCGATGCCCCTTCGCTGGTGTTAGTAGTGGTGGTGTTGGTATCAGCGACTGGCTTCTTGACAGGTGTTGACTTGTTTGGAGTGTCTTCCTCTGAGGCTGAAGACGCCCCCGAAGAATCACGGCTAGAAGATCGCGCCCGCTTCACGCCACCTACTGGTGCGCGCGAGTTCTTGCGACAAACGGTTTCCACGCTTGACCCAATTTTCGAGTCCTCACATTCGTTACCATTCTCTGATGATAAAGTACCACCCTTGACTGTGGTTACTGCTTCTTGTTCTTCCGGGGATGTTCGCACGTCCCACTCTGATGCATTAGGACGCTCAGTATCCACTGACGCACCAGCTGCAGGGGATACTGTCTTTTCATCAGCACCTGCTTTGACTTCAGCCTGACTTCTAGCACCTTTTCGGCAGACTACGATTATCTTTGGTCTCATTTTTGCCACATTCGGGCCCGGACCAACCCGGGCGCTGCTGACTTCACTCACCCGTCCAGATTGCTCTGACGACCGTTCGGCGTTCCTTGATGGTAGAGGTACAATGTGTGTAGGCAAAGGTACTCTAGCAGGTTTGTCATGTGTCTCTTTTTCTTCATTCTCAGGATCAATGAACTGCTCATAATCCACCTCATCAACGACCACTACCTTTCCTTCCCTTAACATGACTTTCCGTATCTTAGGCTTCGTCCCTGCAGTTCCTTTCACACCGGCGCCACCAAATTTAGCAGTCTCATCATCCGTCTCCTCGACACCCTTAGTTGATCTGCGAGTAAGTCTCTCCACTTCCCTAGACCCCTTCACGCCATGCCTCTCCCCCGTTGGTTCCCGCACAGCCCGCGGCTCCGCTGTCGCCGACCTGTTCACCTTTGAACCACTTGGCGCTTCTGTGCGCATTTCAGAAGTTTTGACCGAGGCCTCCAGCTGTTTGACCGGCTTCAGCATCGCCTCTGGCAAATCTGATGTCGATTTGGACATCGCTGGTTTCGTTGCAGCAGCAGCGCCTACACCACTGGGAGTGGCAGTGGTGCTGGCAGACGTGGCGCTGGTGCCAGGAGTGGTGCTAGTGCCGTCAGGAGTGGTACCCACGCCCGCTGAGGTGGAGGTAGACAGCAGATCATTGGCGGCGTCGTACCTACGCCGCAGTTCCCGGCTGACCTCGGTCAGCGTCAGGTGTTCAGAGTCCAGGTTGTGCTTTTTCGCCGCACACGGTGGAGGTGGCGTGGCCTGATCGACCATCTTCTGCGACAGGCGCACCACCTGTCGGGAAGAGGGGTAATCAATAGAGAAATATCAAGACAGCCACGGACAAGAAACGTAGGAGCAATCAGTGTTGGGAAGTGAAAAACTACTCTATTGCGTAATAAAGCACATTAAGAATATCTGCACGACAGAGACCAAAAACGAATGTCATATCGGCAAAAAAAAAACTTGTATTTAGCTTTGCTTGATATGTATTCGATTAGCCCGCGCCCCGGTGGGCCTCTCAGCAAACTTCGCCATGGCGGGGGGGGGGGAGCAAACCAGGTTATTTGGCCACACCAGGTCATCTGGGAAAGTAAGAAAGCTCGAGAGACGCAGCGGGAAAAAACAACAGATAGCTCGCTATTAGATCTTTAAAAATCACTCGGGTCATTTTTTCGATCATCTCATCGCTGAGGTCACTGAAGGCCACCAAAGGTAAAATTATCACTATTTCTCCAGACTGATATTTTTCACAAAACGGCGCATAAGTCGGGAACCAATAGAGCTACAGCACCGCAGAATAGCGCATTCGATAGCTCTTTCAAAGCTCTTTCTGAATGCTATTCTCAGATTTGATCCAGGGTCAACGGTTTAGCCTTCAGAGGGCAAAAACGCAAAATTTGACTTTTTTGCGGAGCACATTTGTTTTGCAATTAGTTTTCACACCAAGCTTGTATTACGTTCATTTTACCGGCATCGCGTTTCCCTCGCCAAGACGCTTCGAATGAATTGTACGTTAGCCTGAAAAGCCAACTTTTAAATTTGACCTCAGGTCAAGGTTCCGGAAAAGGTCATGTTGCATATCAGTCGATTTGCACTCAGTTGAGCTGAACGCATCTAATGTATTTTTATCGCTCTAGCGTGTTTCTAACTAAAGTTATTGACAAAAACTGTTTGAGACGTTGCATGACTTAAGATGAACTCAAGGGCATAAAGGGGTTCACGGGTGACGTTTTCGGATTCCGTGTGTCATGTTTACCTGTATCCCGATCTTTGAGTGTTTCCGTCTAAAAGGAGAGCAGCTAAATTTCCTCCAACTGACTTATATTGGAGAGATCGGAAATTAACCTGAACTTAGGTCACCGAACTCATAATTTCGAGGCATGCAAATTGTTTGCACTGATTCACTCCTGCATTAGCTGAGTTTCAAACTTGTAGGGTATAAACTGTAGACGTGTAGCTATGACTAAATCAATGTTCATTATTCCCTATCCAGCCTAATCAAACCCTACCAACATGAATGCACTGATGACCTACCTCTTTCCGTGACGTCAGCTGGCTCGCCAGGTCGCGCACGTCATCCTCGTCAGTACTCTCGTCAGTGCTTCCCGACTCAGCAGCCATCATCTCCGCCACCTGGCAGCACATCAGAGGTATCAACACACTCGGAAATGGCTAACGTGGAGCACGAGAAGCATTATCTCCAAACCATCAGAGTTGTTGACCGTAGCCATAGCTCGTAGCCATGATCCACTCAGTGGAATCTCCACTGTCTCAGTACCTACCTTGACGAGTCGGTCCCGCTCCAGCCGCTCAGAGTCTTCGGGGCCCCCTCCGTTCTGGAGACGGCGCAGCACGTGGGCCACCGACTCCACCAGGGTTACCGGACTGGCCGTCAGAGGCGCCACGATCGAGCGGACCGCGCTCGCGGACGGGGTGAGGGCGCTGGTGGCCGGCCCGGGCCGCACCCGGACACTGGAAACAGGCCGTCAGGTAGTCAGAGGACGGCGTACCTTGCGGTCATACAAAATAGGGAGATGCTGGATGCAATACAGGATCAAATGAATGTAGTAGCATGATAAAATCAATAAGAACCTCACGCCATAGGTATGAGGTGAGTTAGTTATAGGAGAAATTTCGGGCCTTGGTAACAACTGGATTTCCATTACGTCATGGGTGATGATGTCACACCACGGGTGACGTTTCACTGCTGCTGCTGCTGTCCACGGAGGGCAGCGTTTGTGAGTGGAAAACAGTTGCAAAATTGTAAATGAAGGCAGTATTGGCGCTTATGCTACATATGAAATTTATAACAACATATTGATATTAGTGAATGTTTATTTTTGTTACTTTTCATAAACCCTCCAGTTTCCAGGGTCTGCATGCAAAAGTTCTGTTATTTTAGAGTCTAGCTATTGTACTAAGGGATTTATTTTGGCAATTTAGTCATGTGTTAGGTTATAAGGCTGCAGAAACTTTTAGTTGATGTTGATAAATGGTATCCACTATCCAGTTGCAGCTATAATTGTGTCATATTTTGTATCATTTTCTGAACATGTTAACACCTACCTATATGAATTCAAATATTGTGATTGTAGAAAAGCAGTTACCCTCACATTGCAGCGGGGATTAGAACAATTAACCACACTTGTTATACAAAAAGCCTGTTTGCCATCATTTTTGGGAATTCAAATTGGGTATTGGTAAGGTAGACGTAGCACAAGCTGCCCTATGCACGAGAATGGGTCTTTCTAACCAAACCTTACCTAACCTGACCCACAACCTATAGCCTTAAACCTAAAATTTACAACCTACGACCTAGTCCTACGGTAAGGCATATCACGACAGCTTGTGCTACGTCTGCTACCATGACCCAACTTTGTTCCAACTCATACCAACTTGGGATGACAGTCACTGCAGATGTGTGCTGACCATGCAGGTCTTTGTTACAATTGCAATTCTATTGTGTTACAGGTTCGGCGTTCTACAGCTGCGACCCGCCATGGCTGGGCCACCGCGGCGGCATCACCTTCAGGGTGGACCTGCCCGTGGCCACCCGCCGGTCGGACCCGCCTGCAGTCCGCAGGGAAGCTGCCCTGCGAGCCATTGCAGAGCTCCCGCACCCGGACGTCACTATCTGGTCGGACGGCTCGGCTCGCGGCGGGACGGAACAGGGCGGCGCAGGCGCGCTGATCCAGTTCCACCACCTCAACAGAGAAGAGACCGTGCGCGCTCCTGCAGGGGCGGTCTGCTCCAGCCTAAGAGCAGAACTGACCGCCATGCGCGAGGCGTTCGCGGCTGTGGCCGGCCTGGAGGACGGGGAGTTGGCATCGACCAAGTCGGTCCGCCTCCTCACCGACTCGAGGTCTGGGCTCCAACTACTCGGCCGCGGCCCAGCTCACCAGACCATGGCCCTGGCCGCCGAGGTCTGGAGGCTGCTGAGCACCCTCGCCGAGAACGGCACCGAGACGGTGCTCCAGTGGGTGCCAGGCCATGCCGGGCTGGACGGCAACGAAACCACCGACCGCCTGGCTGGCGAGGCCACGGCGGGCGACCAAGACAGCGCACCGATCGACCTGTAGTGTGCGCGGGCCGCCGTCACGCGCCATGTCCGGGAGCTGTCGCGACAGAGGGCAACCGCTGCCCACCCGCACCCGGACCCCACGCCTGGCCACGACTCCCTGGCGCGCTGGGGGTCGGTGACGCTGTCCCAGCTGAGGACCGGCACATCACCGCTGACCCGTGACACGCTCCACAAGATTGGCCTGGCAGCCGACGACGAATGCCCCGCGTGCGGGGAGCCCGACAGCGCGGCGCACCTGCTGACCGATTGTCCGGCCTATGAGGCGGCCCGCCGCCGCCGCTGGGGTGTCGACCCTCGCCTGGTCGACGTGACGTCCTCGGCGACCCGGCGACGAAGGTCGTCACCTTCATCGAGGATGTTGGGCGGACCGAGCCGCCGCTCGACCCGCCTGCGCCGCCGCCCCCCTGAGCGGGTTGGCGGTGGGATGCAGAAGAAGAAGAAGAAGCAACTGCCAGCGCGCCACGGCGGCGAAGCAGAGTTCCGTCGCTGGACCGCCCGCGCAATGGCCAGCACAGACAAGCGACAACCGAATCACAGCACCTACAATTATGTTATTGTTATGGTATTGTTACAATTAACCCTGCTCTTTCGAGCGTGGATGCACGCTGAAATTGTCGGCCGCATAATTCCATGCAGCTTCCACCCTTCTGCAATACAAAGCTTGAATACAAAGTAGTCTTGCAATAGGTTTAGAACTTATGTGCAGATTGTCGATGCTGGTTGACTTGATGATTGGAATTGTGTTTATCTGTTTCATCTGTTTTGACTTAAATATATGGCCATGGACTATGGCCTACCTTGGGAAGTGTCTCTGATTTCAACAAAACATTTTTTCATCAGGGTACGCTGCAGGGTACATAGTACATACGTAGTGAAAATTTTGAGCATGTATGGGTGCGCATGTGGAGATGTAGACTGCGAATGAGACGGACTACGACGGTTTTTGAACCAATTAAATCTGATTGACAACATAATGTAGGACTAAAAACTGACTGTCAGACGAATATTCACAGAATATTCACTTCACCCGGTACAACGAAAAGGAAAAGTCAGGGAATTGAGGCAGGGTACATCTCGAAGATCAAATTGCAGGTGCCGATTGGTTATGGATCATTGCAGCTCAAGGTACTGCCTTGTGCTGCTTTATTGTTAACTGAAATTCCTTCCACCTTGTATTGAGAGAAGTCATTATGGAAGATTTTAAAAAGGTTCTTGAAAAATGTTTTATACTTTGAATTTATATTTCTGCAGAATTATACACCCGTATCATTCTTTACATGTCAATATTTGTATATTATCTAGTTTATAAGAAAATAAAGGCCTCAAGTTTCTAGGAAATATCTGATCTTGCTCTCTGGGACACCGCAGATCCCTAAAAAGTTAGGAGCCGTCTTCATTATTTAATGTATAAAGCCAAATAAATTATCACTGCTCAAAAAAGGAAGAAATGACAAATGAAAAAAGTTTTCCTACAGCGTTGCAATCCAGATTTTCAGATAGTGATGGGCGTACTAGAAGGCAAGTAAAAGGTATTGTAAAAGTACTTCACAAGGTAAAAGTAAGGAACAAGAATATCCTAATACTGTTTCAGAATTTGGTGACAAACATTTTTTATGTGTTTTAAATACCCGAACAAATCGATTCCAAAATCAGTCTTGATGATATTATATGGTTTTTGTATGGTGTTGGTGGTACTTGAATGACCAAAGTCAGTACATGTCCATCACCTTTCGATATTTCCGTGGTGCTCGCTCCCATTTCATAGCTGCTCACGGTGTTTTCTGCTGACGTCATATGGTGCTGCTCCACTAGCGCCACCATACGGCGTCAGCTGGCGAATTATCCAGTTAATACCAGAGCCCGAAATTTCAGCCAATTATGCTCCCATTTATTGCAGAAGAAAAGTACTTGAAATGGTAGCATAGGAAACAATTGTACTTTGTGAATGGTGCCCTTTCCCCAGCCTGAGGCTCAAACAAAGTGATAGCAAAAACATAATTAAATACCTATTGATTTAACAATTATCTTAATTCACTTTAAGTCATATATACTCAACCAATTCAAGCTTGTCAGTTGTCATGTGTAACATTATAGTAGTTGAGTAAATGCACAAAATTGAAAAAACAGCTCTATCCATTAAAGTTAATAAATCAAAGAAGCACCAACAATGGAAGTATTTTTTTTTCTGAAAAGATGCACCATTTAAAAGTACATTCAAATGGTATCCATGCTCATATAAGTTGTTAGGTGACCACACCAATGATTTTCATTTGAAGGTTAAGAACAATGAATGTGGCTGAAATTATCTCTTGATGACTGCAAACTATTTGAGTGGCAAACTATTAGAATTACCATAAGCACTAAATTAAATAGCCAATGATTACCGAAAATGAAAACATGGCATGCCACTCCCTTGGATTGCTAAAGTAAGCATCAAATTGACATTATGCCAAGATCATGAGGCATGATTCCTCCATAGAAATATTACCCAAGATCCAAAGACCCTCCCACCTTCAAAAAAGTTAATGAATTGGCATGAAAGTGATGTCGCTCGGTTCAGAAAGAGCAAAAACGAATATCTACCAAATTTCATCGAAAAATATTCACCGGTTTTCAAGATATTAGACTTTTACTTTTGTTTACTTTTTGGGATCTGTGCTGTTCCTAGCGACTTTATTTGAAAGTGCGGCATTTGTTGCGCGCAAAGCAGCATATACCATCGCGTGCTACAAAACGTTTTAGTCAAACATTTAACGGACGTTCGAAAGCCTGATGACGTCATCAGATTCCCGTAATGGTTAAGAGATAGGGACCACGCTGGTCCCACCCTGCAAGTAAAGGGAAGAAATTTCTTGAACACCATAAAGCTGCGGGGGTTGCGACCAGGATAAATGGTGGTTTGTGAGCCTGGCCGCAAACTTGGCTATCTCAACTCAAAACTAATGTTAAGGTGGGAGGGTCCCTTTAAGCAAAAGTATCATATTTACTAATATATATATATATATATATATATATATATATATATATATATATATATATATATATATATATATATATATATATATATATATATATATATATATATATATATATATATATATATATATATATATGATAGGAACTAAGGGAGCCCTTACAGCTTTGAAACAAATCAACGGCATCACGTTTGGTAACAACCTCAGTGGGTAGGTGAAAAGTTCAGAACAAGAACAATTAAGAGGTAGAAGAGTCAAAGATACATTGACATGTTTCTTAAAACAAAACACTTGAAGGAAAACTCTGGGTGATTACCTTATAATATCATTTTCTTTCAGAACTAATGTGCTTTCTCCGGGTGGCAGAAAGAAGCCATCAATCTCAAGAAAAATATCGTCATGACTCGAGCACTTTTCCTTGTAAAATAGGTACCAAATTCTCTGCATGACATTTCTCACAAATTTCTGTCGTATTACATTGATGAAAAAGTAGCATTTCTTCCTGTGATCATCATATTCTTCCAAGATCAGCCTCACACGAAAACCGCGTCTGCTATAAAAAGCTGCCGCCATTTCACAGTGCCTGGCATTAACTGTCTCCACAAACTACAAATCTTCAATTATTAGGTTGTATTCTTTGACAGAAGTAAGTGCACAAATGTTAAATTCTTCATAAACTCATCCAAAAATCTTATGTCTCGCGGCGTCCAATCAAAAATTGTGTCCTGCGCTTGAACGCCGACAGTGCGCCGTTTCCGCACACGCGGATTTCTGTTCAGACAGCAGCATTTGCTTTATCACGCATGTTTCCAAGGTAACCTCAAACCAGTTCATGTCTGTGAAATTCGTTCTGCTTACAGATTCAAATTTACCACCAAAATCAAAATATTCTAATAATTAAAAATACCTATGAAAGCAATCAGCAAAGCGTGAATCGTAGGAGATTTAGGTACCATATAAGGTATTTATTTCCAAACCCTGTCGACAGGAGGAAAACACACCAGTATGAACGAACGAACTAGGTAAATGATCAAAATGCCCGCATAAATAACAGTAGCTAGCGCTACATACGTAGCGCTAGGTACAGGGAATATCGTCTTTCGATTGGCGACTTATCTAGGCATCTATACCTAGATACAGGCTCCATCAAACACTGATAGGCTAGTAGAGCGGGTTAAGCTGTCTTACTATGTACATACCAGTATAAACGTTCATTGACAGTATAAAGACATGGTAGGTACTTGCCCCGCTATCAGCGTGAATATTCTCGATTCCACCAGGCACCATCGCTCAGATCAATACCCATCTCCCGTCCAATAGGTGCGCGATGAGTGCATAGCACGATGAGTCCCCTGAACAGGTACCCTGCCGCCATGGTAAGGAACCCCTGCAGGACCAGCCACATGCGGCAGCGTGTCTGGAGGTCGTGCAAACACCACACGAGGCCTGGTATACACGACCCTCGGCCGAGTATACACCACCCTCGGGCGAGAGTACACCACCCTCGGGCGAGAGTACACCACCCTCGGCCGAGTGTAGGTGACGCGTCGCTGCGTGCGGCTCCGACTGGTGCCCAGACCAGGAGTGATCTCCGACTCTTCGGCAGGGGAGGCGCGTACTACTGTCGGGAGCACGTGAAGCATCTCGGAGGGGAAGCGCATGATGCCGGGGACGACCTCCGAGTGGCCTGGCTGAGGAGGAAGGACGGCTGGCGGCGGCAGGTTGGCACGCACTGGGTGGTGTGTCTGTTTCGTCAGCACGGAGAGTACCGACTCCGAGCCGCGCTGGTCTTCAGACTGAGCCGGAGCGGCAGGTCTCTCCGGAGGCTGCTGACCTCTGCCTGCTGCGGGCTGACGCTGGCTGAAGAGCTGACCTCCGGAAGAGCCGCTTCTTCGCTCCTGCTGCTGCGATGACAGGGCGGTTTGCGTTTCTCTGGGTGGCCCCGATCGGCTGGCTGCATCGTGCGAAGCATGAGTCTGCGGAGGAAGATTAGCCACGGGCATTGGGTCCAGCCCTTCACCGTGGAACTTCTCTGCCGCGTAAAACTGCAGCAGAAAATCGATAACCTCGTACGTGTCATACTGGTCTCCGACGAAGCAGTACGGACACAGTTTCCTGTCGGGGAACTGGCGTTTGGGGTGCAGCGGGTCTTCCGTGACGTCTCCGGCGATACGGCCGTTCACTCTGTTGTGGGCACGCCACAGCCACAGGAGTGAGTCTTCCGTCGAAGAGACGTTGAACAGACCGTCTTCGGCGGCCATCTGCTGGAAATGCTGTAAAAGAAATGAACAGGGTCAGAGGGAGAATCAAGACTTAAGGCAAGAAGACAAGAAAGATTTCAGGACACAGTCGCTCTTCAAACGCGATAGGCGATGGGAGACAGCTATTCGGTCCCTATCCACAGCAACTCACCCTAGAGCAGTGCCTGCAGCTGAAGAAGTGTTTGACGTATCCGTGGACAGCGGGCAGCACTGTAGCATTCCTGCCCTCCGGAACATTGCGCAGCTCCTGCACAGTCAGCGAGTGGAATAGCGTCCAGAGGCCGCAGCTGTAGCCGCGATAGTTGGGCCGCGAGCCGCGACACGCCTGGTACGGCTGCAGCTCCGGCAGGCCGGGCCACCACGGCGAGGAGGACTTGAGGAGCCTCTCCAGCGCCTCCCCGGAGATCCGCTCCGGACCGGTGATGGAGCCGAGCACCTGCTGAAGCGAGCTCATCAGGTGACTCCGGCCCGGGAACAGGTCCAGCAGCATGCGCAAGAACCCTCGGAGCGCCTCCAGAGCCTCTCCTTCGATCACGTTGTGGCTAATGACCTCCTGCTTCAGCGCCACGACGATCGCGTTCTCCATGTCGACCATGAACACCTTGTCTGCCGGAGCGCGAGTTGGCGCAGGCGTCGGCGCCGGAGCAGCCGTCGAAGCGACAGTGGTCGAAGGGATATCCATGAGGCCGATGTTCCGACGGATCACAGCGCTGAACAGGGCCCTGGGGTCCTGGCCAGGTTTGGCGGTCACCAGCTCCTGGGAGCCGTCCGGACGCATGAGCACCAGCGCAGGTAGCGAGCTCGGTTTTTGGGTGAGGTCGGCCGGTAGGTGCGCGGTCCGAGAGACGCGCACAAGGTGCTGCTGCGAGCTGAGGTCCAACTGAACGGAGCGGCCCATCGAGCGACCGACCTCCTCCAGAATCAGAGCCTGCAGGGGCTCCGGGTTCCGCAGAAGCTGTCGCGCCGAGCCTCTGAGGGAACGAAGTCTCGGTCAGTGATTCGAAGATCAGTTAAGGCTAACTGGTGATGGCTGGGTTGCCTAAACATGTAAGAAAAAAAAACTATGCGGAACTTCATCATTCCATCGCAATAAATTAGACTGAGACCAACACGTAGGTAAAGTACCTACACACTGAACGAAATCTACAAAGTGAAGCATAAGCTCGTCTTTTTTCACAAAGCTATGAATATCGAGCAGCTCTGATTCCAGTACCTACACTAAGGACACACAGAAGGTGCAGACGGCGATGCCGCCTCAACACTTCTCGAAGCGCCACTCACCTGTGTTCGGTCAGGGTCGGCCAGCCCTCGGGCTGCTGCCGGCTCTGGATGGTGGTGACGAACTCGATCAGGACCCCCACCATCCGATCTGGATCGTGCTGGATCCCGGAGAGGCCGGGCATGCCGCGCCGCACCCGCGGCCCGAACAGCCGCACCTGTGGCACCCCGTGGATGCCGAACGTGCGGCAGATGGCGCTGTTGCGGCGACGCGCGCAGTTGATGGCGCCCACTTTGATCACGGTGCCCCAGTCTGGAAAATGGGACACGGTTAACCCGCGCCCTGGTGGGGTCTGTTTATAACGCGACCTGGTGGGGGGGGGAGGGCTATTTTTTGCCCCCCCTCGTATCTCCGAAACTACTGGACGGATCCGCAAAATTCAAACGGCGTTCGAAAGGCCTGTCAAATTTGTCGAGGAAATCCAAATTTCATTGACCTCGGGGTCACCGATGACGTCACAGGTCAGGTCAAAGATGAAATGTTTCACCGTTCACGGGTCTTCTAGGGAATGCGCTATAACACCGAGGAAAACGCATTTTGTCGAGAATCAGCCATAGGGCGTCAGTTGCCTAGTAGATATGTGGCTATTAGAGGTCACTGACAATACCAGGTCACGTCACAGGTCAGGTCACCAAGGGTCACAGGTCAGGTCACATGAGCCCAACTTTACTAAGGTTGTGTGATGCATGTTTTATGGCCAATTTTTCATTTCCAACTCAATGGTGTTGGTTATAAGACTACCAGGTCACTTTCTGGTGAAGTTCAGGTCAAGGTCAGGTCAAGGTCAGGCCAAAAAAGGTCAAATTTTAAAGTTGATAGTTTTGCATAAAATGGGTATTGATTCGATGCAGCTCGTCACGGGGAGTCTAATGGTGGTCTTTGTTTTGCGCTACGGGGTCTAGAATTGCTAAAAATTGAGTTTGAAAATTTGACGTCATCAATTTTGAACAGTTTTTTCGCTATAACTTCGCCAAAAAAAGAGGTACCAATCTCAAATTTGGTATGTACCTAGATAGAAGGCGTTAGGGACTATCACGTATGTTCCGGTTTTTTCGAAATTCAAAAAACTTTTTGGATTTTTTGGCTATTATATTTAAAAAATGTATTTTTTGATTTTTTGGAGTCAAATTCCAAAACATTCAAAAATCCGAGATAGCAGTTTTGTAGCCCTGTCAATTCTACAGCTTTTAAGACCTTATCATTTTTCTGTATTTGCAAAGCTATAGGCCTGACAGCTCTTCCCGCGAAACCCTTTTTTGGGTCGAAAACGGCAGAACATGACGTCACTCTGACGTCATTTCCGGCCAACCTATCATAGCCTTTGGAAAAATGTTTGGTCACCATGTGTAAAATTGATGTCCGGGAGGGTACTGAAAGTTTGGTGACGATCGGCGCAGCGGTTCTGGAGATATATCGAAAAGTCTGGAGGGGGGGGGGCAAAAAATAGCCCCCCCCCCCACCAGGTCGCGGGTTAAGAACCCAGACGATAGGGATCTCGGGTTCAGAGAACGATGGGGCAGCCTACTTGTACTTACTTGCATGGTTCTCAAAATGAAGGTCGAATGCTGAGATTTCAGTAAACGATTGTTAATAAGACTAGTCATGAAATACTTAAATTGCAAACTTAAATATTCACGTTTTCTGTTCGCGCATTTCTCGAATTCTCGAAACAGTGCTCGAATGTGTACATGGAATCAGTCCCGGACGATCGGACATTCGCCCACCTTTGGCCCGGCGTGCCACCTCGGACCAGATGGGTGCAAACCGCTGACAGTGACCGCACCAGTCCATATAGAACTCCATCGCCCAGGCGTGTGGCTTGTCCAGCAGCGCGCCATAGAACGTCACGTTGTCCAAGTGGACCACGTGGGGGTCCCCCTGGTAGAGGTCGACCCTCGCGGTGCTGATGCCACCTCCCTGGGTGAGGACTGGTGCCGCCAGGGCTGCCAGTCCGGCCAGCGTCAGTAGGGGGACGCTGAGCATGGTGAGACACCTGTGGAAAGAGATGGAGATGTTTGAGAGAGAGAGAGAGAGAGAGAGAGAGAGAGAGAGAGAGAGAGAGAGAGAGAGAGAGAGAGAGAGAGAGAGAGAGAGAGAGAGAGAGGGGAGAGAGAGAGAGAGAGAGAGAGAGAGAGAGAGAGAGAGAGAGAGAGAGAGAGAGAGAGAGAGAGAGACCCGAAGACCCGACCGTCGCCGTCTAGCCGTTAGGCTTTAAGCACAACTGTCGAATAACGATAGTATTGGCAAAGTAGCCCGAATTATGACCCTGCGAGAAGTAATAGGGATATGAAATATAGGTAAAATCTTTACCTGCAAGAACTTATTGACAACGTTGATAGCGAAGCTTTCTGTGGTGCTGAGTCGTTTAAAGGAAAAGGGCCACCTTTAACATGGGGATTGAAACTGAGATAGCCCGTGTCCGAAAACCTAACTGTCTACCTCCTTACGGCCGATTTCGGCCTCCATTCATAGTTATCGGCAATTTTAAAAGAAAATACGCTAGGAATGCGTCCTTATCCCAGGAATGCGTTCTTATCCGACAATACAGCCACCCGCGGCGAGGCTTTGGTTTTTTACCAATCAGCTCCAACCAGCTCAGCTTTAACCCGCGCCCCACTGGGGGGGGGGGCTATTTATAGCCCCCCTCCCGTTTTTCTGCAATAACTTCCAAACCGCTTGACGAATCGACGCCAAACTTTCAGTACCTTCGGCTGCATCAATTTGACACCTTGTGTCAAAATTTGAACTTCGTAGCTACTATAGGTCGGCCGGAAATGGCGTCAGAGTGACGTCATGTTCGTCCGATTTCGACGCAAAACATTGAACCACGGCAATCGCTCCCAAGAGCTCAGTTTTTAAGCTAGATCCAATTTCTTTGCATGAAAGAACTCAGAATTGACCGCGCTATCAAACTGCTATCTCGGATTTTCAAAATTTTGAAAATTTCGAAAATTTTATATAATAATATTCAAAATTTATTTTTTTATATTTTTTTCAAAAAGTTTTTGACTTTTCGAAAAAACCGGAATATATGTGACAGAACGCATGATTATGACTAATTCTAGCAAGTTTTAGCTAAATATCTTCAAAAATGGCCAAGTTATACGCATTATTGCAAAAAATTCACAATTATTAATTTTTCAAATTAATTTTTCAGTACGTATTTGGCATCGTACACCAATATAAATGGCATCATCGTGTTTCTGAGCTCAAACTGCATCCAATAGACACCTTTTTTGTTGAAAAATTTCAACTTCAAAATTTGACCTTTTTTGACCTGAAAGTGACCTGACCTAAGCTAATTTCGACTCAAAATGACCTTGAATGACACAGACGACATCAAATTCGAAATCTATGGCGTAAATGGACCATAAAACATGTGTCACGTGACCGACCCATGATATAATATTTTCGTGACCTGTGATGACCTGACCCTGACCTGAAAATCAAAGTACAAGTTTGGTACCCTCAAGGTATCTAGAGCATCTGTTCACGAGTGTGGAAACCAAAAATGAGCCTGATCTGACTTGTAAGACGGCGGCCAGAGCCCAAAATGTGAACAAGCCAAAGTGCTAATAATTTTTACTTTGACCTGACCTGTGACGTCATCGGTGACCTCGATGTCAATGAAATTAGGTTTCGCTCGACAGTTTTTCCGGGGCTATCAGACGCCGTTTGAATTTTGACGATCGGCCCAGTAGTTTCAGAGTTAGGAGGGGGGGCTATGAATAGCCCCCCCCCCCCCCCCAGTGCGTATTTACAAATTGCAACCGAGCTCCGCCGTGGGGTAAGGCGGGCAGGGGTTTTCGCACTACGGCTGCGGTTGAACTACCGTCTGTGGTAGAAACTTCAGGACGATGGCGCGTTTCATACGAAATCTGGCGCAATGTTTGTTTGCTTCTGAGTCATTGCTGTGAATTGTGGATTATTTGAGTTTCTTTATACAAACATAAAATAGTATTATGAAACATTGTGTGGAAACTGCAAATACTGATATGATCAATTACTTAGTTTGGGAATTGATACACATTTTGTAGAGATTTGTCTGGCAAATGGTGTAACAAACCCTCAAGCCTATCATGATCTGAAGCTGTTGTAACAAATCAAAATTGCTTTGATGTTACATAGTACCTTGTTGGAAAGACTGGAGCATGGTTCAAGATGATGTGTAAAAATTCAAGATTTGTGTGAAAGCTTGTGACTGAAGAACGAAAACGGTTCTATATGATGGCTCAATCAAACATAGAAATGGACGACAAAAGTAGAGTTTCAAAATTCCTGATTCCAGCATGTGAGAATAACTTAAGAAATTCATAGTTCTTGTAGTATTGCATTCTTCTGATGTACAGTTATAGGTTTTGTTAGGGTATTTGAAATTCATTGTGTCAGTTGAGATATAGATGGATTGAGGACAAATTGTAGAATCATTGCATGGTAGCTAGGTACTTGTTCAGTAAAAAGGTATGTGATGAATGCCATGAGAAGGTTTTTTATGATTTAATATATGGTCGTTGTACCTACAAAAATGCAAGCTTAGCAACTAGTTTCTGAATCAAATCGAAAGTATTTGCCATGAATGTAAATATGTACATGCAAGGTATGTCAATAAATTTGTGTGATGTTGACCAGAGAGCTTTATCATCTAGGCATTCATGTCGCTTCTTGCATTAGGTGTTAAGCATAGTAATTACGGATTAACTTTGTGCCAATATGTTGAGTAATAATAGACAAATATATATATATATATATATATATATATATATATATATATATATATATATATATATATATATATATATATATATATATATATATATATATATATATATATTGAGACCACCCAATCTATATATCAAATATAAATATATATATTGAGACCACCCAATCAATATATAATGAGTCCACCCAATGTGCTGTGTAACCCGTCTCAATATATATATTTGTGCCAATATCTTCAATGCACAATGTATGTAGCATGTCTACAACCCTCATTGATCCTGCTATAGCTATAGGCATTTGGCACCAGCAAGACCAAGGGCATGAACTTCACAGTTGCTCAATTCCTTTTGTCATGTACCACCAGTCACTTTTTTACTTAAGGTGCACATAGCAGTGCACACAACAATGTGGAGAGGGCCTACACAAAAACAACATGATTAGTGTGCACTATGCACAGCATTGTACCCTGATTATTTGAATATTTTGATCACTCAACAGTCAACAGTCAGGAGATAATTATTGAATATCACATTTATTATACATCACTCGTCAAACAAGAGCATGATGACACACATTTTGACAAGCAATCATGGTAGTGTTCCAATAAGTTTGACAGTCATCTCCCTGGGCGTCATTTTTCCAGGAAGGTACCTCTGCAGGTGTTGTGGTAGGCTAGGTTGAATTGGGTTAAGTTAGGCGAAGTAAGGTGGTTAGGACCCGGTCAGACCGTAGGGCCTGGTCAGGTTGATTTTAATCTTTCATTCTAATTTGACATATATACCTATTACCTATGTATGTTTTTGCTCCAGCCTGAATTTCATTAGGTAATGAGTTAATTTTGCTTTGTTTTTATCTGTCTTGTTTTGTGTTTTTGTCCCTTATATTTTGCCCCATAGGCAAGGGCTTTTCCAGGGAAGGTACGGTGGAGCATGATTGGAGGCGCTCAACCAGACGGCATATTAGGAGGGCATGGTTTCTGAACGCGCACTGATGCCTGATTCAAGCCAAGCTGTTTTCATGCGGGGCGGCGCGCTACTTAAAAGTCCCTAAAAGAACGGGAAGTGATGCCGATAGAACCTTCAATCATTCTGGGCTAACGCCTATGACTTGGAAAAAGTCGCGATCCCAATTCAATCGAAAACCTGGGCTCTTGTTCAGCAGGAGGTGTATGAAGAGCCACCCGCCATAAGCACTGCTCAACCGCAGGCACAGGTTTAGACGGCGTTGGTCCGCATCAAAGCCAGTGTGCTGGAGAATCCATTGGCTGAAATGCTCCAGAACATTCGCCAGTCGCCACTGTGTTTTTATGAAAGGTGGCTTCAAGCTCAGTTAAAAAAGTACCAGATTGTTTTACTTTTACAGCGGGAAGAAAGGTGTCCGGATAATTTCGTTACACCCCCTGTAATGTTCAAATGGTTGCTTAATTCGAAATCAGCTCCTAAAACTAGCCTAGAAACATGTAAAACTCGAAAAAGTGAACCGAGGTCATCAGAGGTCATTGAGCTGACCTGACCTTGACACCCACCCTAATGCATGGGACCAGCATCATATCACATGTTTCAACGCTTAAAACCACGTGAAGACTGCAACCGCGCGGCTAGTGCGAGCCGACATACGCCGAATCGCGATTCGGGCCAAACATGGTCTCGAGAAATAGGTCACAGCCAGGTCAAAGGTCATTTGGGTCAGGGTCATGAAATTTTCAGGGTAGGTGTAAAATTGATAAAATCGGGGGTATTGAAAGTTTCGTCGCGATCGGACGGTTTTTACGCGAGTTACTCACGAAAAACCGATAAAGCGCACCCAAAAGGCAGAAATATGCACATGCGATATCCTATACTGCGAAAAAAGGTGCATCATTTTTTAACGTAGCCGACAAATTGTAATTACCCTAGGCTCAGGCAGATGTATGGTAGAAAATCCCCCAAGTGAAATACACTACGGCGGAAATAAAATACCCTACGGCGGAGCTCGGTTGCAATTTGTAAATACGCCCCCCCAGTAGGGCGTGTTATACACAGACCCCAGTGGGGCGCGGGTTAACCAATCAGCTTATCTGACACAATCCGACGAGTCTGTCTTCTGAACGCTGATTGGCTTGAGTGTGACGTCATCGCTATGCCATCATACAGTAGGTGCCGTAGAGAGTATCAACATAGTACCAATATGTTAAATAGTTTTGAATACTTTTTCGCGAATTGTGCACTTCTGGCACCAGTTTTAAAAAGAAAATGAAAAATAATAATGTCAAAATGAAAAACAATGATATCTTCA